AGAGAGAGAGAGAGAGAGAGAGACTGCTAAATTCTCAGTTATCTTGCAGTTCAAATCTTGGTAGATAAAACCTTGAATTAATTCAACGTCGAAACATGCCGATATCATGGATCGCAAGGATTTACACTTAATTTCGGAAATTCGCCGTACGTGTTTCGCATTAAGATCGAAGGGAGCAGATTTAGGGCAACGAATGCAATTTCAATCGAATCGGCACAATGGACCGGCTTCGAATTCATGGCCTCGAGAACCGGCGGTACAATCCGTACGTGTAAAAGAGAATACGTAAACATGAAATCGTGCGCAGAGAATACGTTTGTTCCTCGAACGAGGCGGCGGAAATTAATGGCGGAGCACGAGGGCGTGCGCGCGCGTTTCGATTCCCCCGAGGACTTACCATTCGTGCTTAGACCGGGGCTGGATGTGAATTTTGCCACGTCGACGATTTTTACCGCGAACGTCTGCCCCGTCTGGCGGTGGATGCATTTCCTAACCACGCTGAATGGTCCCCTGAAACATAGATAGAATACAACCGGTTGAACGTGAGTAATCGTAATCGTAAACGTAATCGTAATCGTCAAACGTTCTGCTTTCGAGTTTCGAGATAATTCACCATTTTAAAATTCAAGAATATTTGATTGTCTTTGAGACTCGATTTCTTTTACATGTACACTAGCGCACGAAAGGACAATTGCCTTTGATATTTCGATCTGTTCGCAAGTTTCAGAGAGACGAAATCGTACAACAATCCACTTGGCCTCGTTTTGAAATCGTCTTCTTTTGCTTTATTCTATATATATCTTGAGTTTGCTTTTTTTTTTTTTCTTTCAAAGATGTTCTTACACCTTTGTGCAGCGGATGAAAGAGTAAGCATACTTTCGTTATCGGAGATTTGTAAAAATTTAAACGGTCCTTCGAAAAATTCTATTCGACGATTAAATTCACAATGGAACTTCTTGGAGATCAAAATCGTCCCTTTGCAAACGATCAGCACTAGAACTACCAAAATAGTCGAAATGACTAATTTGTAATTTCTGTTGGACATTTTATAATCGTACGTAAAACAATACATTTAGATTTAGAAATAATTTTTCGTAAAATATAAATAAAAGCTTATACATTCCTCATTGTATTATAAAAGTTTCTCTATTTTTCGATGTCTCTTTAATCGTCGATAGTTCTTCTAGCGTTAAGTCTCCCCTTGAAATTTGCTGTACGTTTGTGTA